CAGAAGCAGAAGTATTCCACTTGGCTCTCAGTTTTGACGGGGTCAATAAATGGACCTTAGAAATAGAATGATCAGTGCAGTTATTCCTAAGGATAATTAAGAACAGAACAAAATAGGTGGCTCTGTACTCAGTTCACTGGGGCAGTGTGTGAAATTCCACGCGTTTACTGAGGTATAAAGTAAAATAAAATAAAATAAAATAAAAATCGACATCTCATCCAGGCAGTATGATAACTGGGGTCGGTTTGTCTGAACCTGAGCACACATCCGGTGACAGCCCAGGAAGAGCGAGCTCGAGGACGAGCTGAGAGAAGGCTCTTGGCAGAAGTGGTGAACTCTTCCATTTGATCAAATATGGACACATGTTCATCTTCCAAACTCTGTCATATTGCACTAATTTATTAAAACACCTGTGTATTGGATTTTGCAATTTAAAACTAACTGAGTCACAAGGGACTTGTTTAAAATATTTTACTTGATTATGTTATATACACACACCCTTTCCAGAATTCACATGTAACCTCTAGTGGACTTTTAAGTGGTAAAAACCTGTGTTCGTGTGACCCTTTGCATTTTGTTAACCTATCCATCTACACATACAGATTTTCTCAGTGGTGTTTTTGAGTTACTGGCTGTTTGCTTTTGGTTGTATTTTTTATTGTGCATGCAGAGTGTGCATCGATGCCTGTGATCTCTAGGTTTTCTAAAGGCTAGGTTTATTTGGGCAGTATTGGAGAAAAATACCAACCTTGGCCAAAACAAGGTTTTGTGATGTGGAGTTTCTCCATGAAGTTAGTGACAAATGAGATTTGTCTTCTCTTAGGAAGACGGGCAGCTCTTTGCAGCCTAATGTGCATGGTTCGTGTCTGTCCTGACCGTCCACCAACGGCTGGTGACAGAGAAGCGGGCAGGTCACGTCCCTCCAGAAATGGTTCCTGCATCATGTATGGTTTCGTTTCTTTTCCACACCTGCTTGAATACTTGAATAAACCATTCTCCAGTTTTAATCCTTTTATTTTTACCCTTTTAGATAACATAATCCAAACTCTGACAAATTGCACAGAAACTCTTTGGCATTAATCTAATTTTAGAATACTGATGCAGACAGACAAAAACATGGTTTTTCCTTTACTTTGACGAAGTAATGTTATTTTTACCTTATTTATCTGTATGAAATTCCAGCAGTTAATTTGAAC